TTTTTTTCTTTTTAAGGATTCGCCTCTTCAGCATCCAGATCTTCATGACTTAACGTTCGTGGAACCTTTCCAATATAAACACGCAGTGCACTGAATGGGGAGTCCAGTCCAGTGATAATACTCTTATCCTCACGAATACCCGTTCCACAGTAAACATCCCCAATCACCCAACCGCCCATAATGGCATGATAGCCATCTCTACAAGGCAATGGAAATAATTCCTGATAAATCATATCACGATCCCCAAAATCCCCACCAGACTCCGCCGCTACATTTCCAGTCGGTTCAGTAATAGTAACATTACGACCCACACGACCCACAATGGGTTTCTTTGCATATCCACTACGTCGAAGGTCATTTGTTAATTCATAACTGGCCTTTAATACCGCAGGGTGATCTGGGTGATTATCATAAATCATAGGAAGAATAGCTTTATTACTGGGAATTAACTTCCACATGGGCTCAAACACACGTATATCCCAATTAGATCCCAATAAAATATCACATAAACGAACTTTTTCTGTTGGGGATGGTTTCCAATTGGGTCCACGTTCTTGTTGCGCTCTATTGTAATCTGCAATAGCGGATTCCCACATCCATGTTTTCCAAACAGCCGTAACAGGAATTCCATCCGCATCTATTATATTTCCATTCTCATCAAAGTGAAATTCATCAAAGAGAACACATAATTTAGTTTCCAATCCTGCAGCTCGAGCCCCTTGCATCACATAGGTGGCGGTATACTTTTCTTCAATATCATTATCCACAAGGAAATGAACACGACCTTTTAAATTTGTCATTTCCCAAGCCAATTGTAAACGAGATTCAATAAAACTGCCTGAACTTCTTGTAGTGCCATCGTTTAAACCAATGGAGTCGGCCCATTTTTCTTGAATATCTCCACATTCCAAAAGTGTAGAGGCACTATCGGCATTATATTCAAAACATTTAAACATTTGTTTATCTTCATCAAAAGCAAAATCAAATCTTCCCGTTATACATTGTTGTTGTGTTTTCCATGAATGACGAATACGTGGCCAAAATTCCTTTGGAATACCAAATAACGTTAATTTTTCATCACTTGCAATTACCGTTTCAGTAGCTTCAAGAAAAAATTGATGTAATTGATTACCATAACGTGTACAATCCAAATAAAGTTCCCTGTTCATTTGATAATAACTTACACTTTCCTCACCGTCTCTTTTCACATCCGTCCCAAATGTTTGAATAAATAAAGCTTCTGCATCATTTGTAGGATCTAACCAATTTTCCTTTTTTCTCTTCGGCACAAATGTAATTCGACGCAAATATGGTTTCTCTGGAGTTTTAAAATATAGGGATGGATGAAGCACAAGTGGTTCATTGGGTTCACGATCCGGTGTATCTGGAAAGGTTACCCATCCCAGTGGATTTAAAATCCCATAATGAACATGATCCTCCACTGTCCAAATCCCATTTTCATACTTTAATGGAATTTGAGCCGCGTAATCCGATTCCCACTTGTGAAAACGATGATTTTGATCCGCAATGCGAACCCAATCATCTCCCACTTCTGTAATTACCGCAACGTGACCCACCGGACTATCTTCTTCGGAAGGATAAATTAGAAGAGAATCGGCAACCGGTTTTTCACTCGTTCCATTGCGAATGGCAACACAACGTACCGGTTCCGCTGTGCGGGCATCGGCTACTTCTTTTAATTGAAATATATGCACAGCCCAATCTACATCGGGAAGAACAAGAAGTTTACGTTCATACAACCATCGACGGGCAAATTCCACACATTGATATTTAAATCCACAAAAGAGATTTTTATCAATACTCCGCTCTCCTGAAAAGTACATATCATGTTTATTGCTGTAGGCTGGAATACCCCCAGGAGCATATCCCTGTATTTCTCCATAAGGCAATCCCACTGAAGATGCGGTGTGGGTGCCTGCTGCGGTTGTCGTCATTTTCCTTTGTAGAAAATAAGAAATCCTGGAAAGGGAAAACGTAATAATAATATTTTATTTTTTCTGAAAGGATATTCCTTAATCTTTCTTTTTTGTTGTTGTTGTTGTTGTTTCTATTTGATCCTTCTTTTGCTTGTTCGTTTTTTGTTTTTTGTTGTTTTTTTTGTATTTGTATTTGTCGTTTTTTTTTTTTCTTTTTTTTCAGTTTAGCAACTCTTTCTTTCTTTATCTATATGTGTAATTTACCATTTTTTTTTTTTTTACGCATAAAGGAGAAAACAAATAGAAGTAGTGATAATAATAATAATAATAATAATAATAATAATAATAGTGATAGTAAAAAAAAAGGTGAAATATCTGAAGAAAAAAACCTCTCCCAAAGAAAGAAAATAAAAAATAAATAAAAAATAAAACGAAAACATTCATCATACTTTGTACACGCAAAAAAAAAAAAAGACCCACCCAGAACAAGTGGGGTAAGAGCAAAGTATTGTTTGTATGAATTAATTCTACTCCGATAAATATCACTCTCCCTTTTCCATTGTTATTATTATTATTAATATATATATATATATATATATATATATACGGAGAAAAAGAAATAATAACCATTACAGATTATTGATACCTGAATGCAGCTGTTCATGATGATAATCATCATCCGACTTCTCTCTCATCAATCCCTCCTTCACTGCCGTTTCCTGTTCTTTTTCCAACATCTCCTTCTGTTCCCGTTCACGGCCAAATACACGAATCTCTGCAAGCACCTCCTGTGGTTTAATCTCTTTCCCATCCAGTGTCTTTTGGACTCCACGCATTAAACTCTTTCCTTCTGTGGACACCGCCTCTATTAACTCCGGCCGTTTACCCACCCAACCCTCAAACATTAATAATGATCGGGGTGGTGGGAGTCCGGGGTATAATGCAACTCGGCCGGGATTTAATGTAGACTCCGGCGTCCCCCATGCCTCTTCATGAAATGCTGATGTAAATTGTGAAAATAACAATGGAGGAACATACACCTCTACAGAAAAATTAGGATTCGTTATTAATAACTCTTTAGCAACATGAGATATACGATGAAATCCTTTAATAAGAGATTGTTGATTTAGTTTACCAATTTCATGATAAAATTTCATTCCACATGTATCACAAGAAAGAGCAGGAATACAAATAATATCTGCTGGTCCATTCGGTAATTCTGCAGCTTCATATAATATATTACGATAACCAGATATCATCTCTACTTGTGCTTCTTCTCGACGATATCGTTCCACATCTAAGTATGGATTAATACAAAGAGATACAAAAAAACGAATGTTTATATCTTCACAACGTTTTAAAAAAGATCCATGTAAAAGTGTAGTATCACCATTCTGACGTAAATGTCGTTTATTTTCTGCTGGTAATGTATATCCAAACTCATCACTCTTCACAAATGAAGATGAAATTTCCTTTTCTTTTTCTTCTTTTTCTTGTGATTGTACTTTTACTGATTCTCCTTCCATTCTTTTCCATCCAGTGTAATAGGATGGATGCGCAGCGGGATATGCCACTGGGGCCTCCACATCATTTAATGATAATAAATCCACCACAAGTACTTGCAGTGATTTTTTCATTCTATCACTTGATCCATCATTATCCTCATCATTATCATTATCATCATTTTTCTTCTTCTTCTTCACAGACGGCTGTTGTTGTTTATTATATGGTAATCTATACAAGTCTCCTATTTGAAAAAGTGGTAAGATTTGAATACGACGTTCAAACGCTAAAGAGAGTGTATCTCGTCCACGGGGTCTATTAAACACCATACTAGACCGTTTGAGCCGTTGAACTCGGGACTCATCTAATCCAGAGTAGAATAAACGATAAGATGATACTCCTCCAGCACAACTACAGAGAGATTTTCCTTTTCTCATCCATGGACGATGGAACATTTCTCTAATAATTATATATATATATTTTTCTTTTTTCTTTTGATTGTTATTACTGAGGCACTAATAAAGTGGAAAGAAAGATAAAAAATAGAAAAAGAAAAAAAAAAGTAAAGAGTAAAAAAAAAAGAAGAAAACTCCGTCATTCTCAAAATGAAAGGAAATTGCAACAAGAGATCGTCTCTTTTTTCTCTTTTTTTTTTTTTCTTTTAAGAAGACAAAAAGAAAGAGAATGAAATAAAAACAGCAAAAAAAAAAACACTAAATGTTCATTTCCCTTTCATATTCGTTAACTTGTTTTTTCTGGTTATCTTGTTTTTTTTATTATTCATCTATTCTTCTTCTTTTTTTTTTTCTTTCTTTCCAAAATACTCTCTCTCTGTTTGTGTGTGTGTGTTCCTCACATCAACTCTGACTTCCCCATTTAGACAACATATGAAGACTGCCTGTCTGTGGTGCCTTCCCCCGTGTGGCTGAACTCTGCGGTGTACTTGTTATTGTGTTCATCTCTCCTGGAATGATATGATGAGTTAAGTTTAGTGTCGGTGTTGCCATTGTAGAAGCAGAAGAAATGACTTGTTTGCCTTTTTTACCTCTCGGGGCTTTTGTTGTTGTTGTTTTGTTGTCGTTGTTTTTTCTCGGTCCTCCCTTTGAACTGTTACTACGTGTTGGCAGTATTTCAATCACCCCATCATCATCATCATCATCATCAATATTAATATTATTATTATTATTATTATTATTATTATTATTATTATTATTATTGTCTATACCGTCTACATTCACTTCTTCTCGCCGTCGCTTACCGCCAGGTATACTACTACTAATACCACTAATATTACTATTACTACACATATTCTCTCTTGTTGTTGTTTTCATTAATTGTGGTGTTCGTGCCATTACATCACCTGTCTCTTGTCGTACCGCATTGGCAATCAGTGCATCCATTGTTCCCCGTCCAAGACCAGTATCCGGAAGATCATCATCATCATCATCTTTATTATTAATATGATTATTATTATTATTATTATTATTATTATTATTATTATTATTATTATTGTGATTATTATTATTATTATTTTCCAAACGATTATTGTTTGGTTCCACTGCTGCTGTTGCTGCTAATACAGCTGCGTTAAGTACATGAGAAGCGGATGAGATGGTCTCTCCAAAAGGAATACTGTTTTCATCAAAGACATTAGAAATCATAAAATTCGTTCGGGTTGGATCATTAGAGGAATCTTCTCCTTCTCCCTGTTGTTCTTGTTGAAAGGGTACATCACTTGAATGAGTCATTTCAGCATAACGTTTATTAATTTCTTGTTTATGCCGCACCACTTCATCACATATACTATCTGGTTTTAATATACTTTCAGCATCTCCTCTTCCCATGGTCTTCCAGACAGACTTCTGACACATATTTAATAACTCTGAAATACGTTCATCAATCGCATCTCGTTCCCCTTTCTCCGCAAATGCATACACCGCCGCAGAAACTTCCGGTTCGGATAGTAACAAACACGCATCTCGTGCATTCGCATTAAATACTTCCGCTACTTTTGTACGAATATCAGCTGTATTTAGTTGAGGTACTGGAACGATAGGTACGGCATTATCTCCACCATGTGCTGTACGTATAGTACGAGGAACAGGTTTTGGTTTTATTGGTCGAAGAAGATCTCCTGGATTGACAATTACATCCATATATTGTTGTCCAAATCGGTTAATATTGGGTTGTGGAAAATTTGTAGATTCAGGATCTGTAAAATCTACAGAAAGTCGCATAAGTGGATATTTAATATTTGGATGAAACTTTAATACATCATCTGGAATTCGACTGATTTGTTCTTCTGCCTCATCAATCATTTCCTCCACTACACCTCGAAGGAAATCTTCCACGGCATCTAATGTTCTCCCTGTAGGGTTTTCCCGCCAGAGTTCCACACTACGTCTTACTACTGGACGAACACTTTGAAGTGTAAATGGCGTGAGTCGATAAGATCCCTCCCGTACTTCTAAAACTCCATATTGTTTAGGACTACACTCTTGTCCAGAGAGAGATGTGAGAATTGTACTTCCCGGTTGAATCACATCAAAGCCTTCAGAAGGAGTGGGAATCATCTGTTGTTCATGTTCATTCCCCCAAATCACAAGATCTAAACCAAATCCTGCTAACATAGCTTCAAAAATACCACCTTTATCTGAAGGACCTCCACGAACTCCACGATTTTGATGAAGTAATAATATTTTAAACCAACGTTTTCCAGAAATGGGTTTAGGATGAATAAAACGAATTTTTTTCATACGAAAACAACGATGTAATCGTTCATCACGAACATTTCCAAGTCCATATAAAGCCACATAGGTATGACCCTTCTTTAGTAGTATAGGTTCTACTACAATATCATCCAAGGAGGAAACCTGTCCAAAGTAGTTTACCAAACCATTGGTAGATAAAATATCAATAGAAGAAGTTCCCCCTACAGGATCATCATGATTTCCATGAATAATAAAAATAGGTATTGCTACATTTGTATTTGGATCTTGAAAATTCGCTAATGGAACCGCATGTGTGGGAAAGTTTCGCTTTGGATCACTTAATAAAGTAAATCCAATGGGTTTATCCCCCAACACATAGGCTCGCAGTAAAGCCGTAGTGCGGGCAAGACAACCAAGACTGGGTTTGTTATCATGGAAAAGATCTCCGCCGAGAAGAATCGCATCCACATCGTGTTCAACACGAGCCGCCCGCAGACATTCCTCAAATGTGGTGAAACTATCATCGCCCCGACGAGGATCTCGTTCTTGAAATCCCAAATGATTATCGGTGGTGATGAGAAATTTAAACGTGGAGGATGTGGATGGGGCTGGACCAGCGGAAGTGGAAGAAACAGTGGGAACTGCACCCGTTACAGCAGCTGGCATTTATAGTAATAGTAGTAATAGTAAATAGTAAATGGTAGTAACAGTAAGAAAGGAACGAACAAAAAAAAAAAATGAATAAAAGAAAAATATATAAATAAGAAAAGAAAACTTTACTTCTTCTATGGTAATCTCTGAAAATTGAGAGTCTCTGTAATGTATAAATGAACAGATATACTTATATGTTTGTGTATATATGTATGTATGTATGTATGTAGATGTATGTCTCTTTGAGTGAATGTGCTGAAATGACTCAGAATAAGCAAAGCACAATCTCCTTTAGTGGCCTCTTCGTTGTCTATCTATTCTTAGAATTGCATAAAGATAATATGAAAGAAAGAATACAAGTTCTTTTTTTTATTATTATTATTTGGAAATATTAAAACCAAAAAAAAATAACAAGAGAAAAACAGAAAAAAGAAAAACAATCCTCATACTAAAATATAACACACTTAAAAAGAAAACACACAGACGTAAAGAAATAGAGAGATAGATAGATAGGTAGATAGATAGAGAAATAGAGATACCAGAGGAAATATGATCGTAACGCTGAGAATGTTTTTTTTCTTTTCCTTTTCTGCTTTTAATTATAAGTATATAGTAATAAATATAAATGCCATGAACCTTCTCTCTTCTTCTCGTCTTCTTTCTCTCCTTCTTTCCCTTTCTTTCTCACATACACATAGACAACTACAAGAGTGTAGTCTAGAGTTTACACCAATAGCAACAACAACAACCACACCAAACACAGCAAACGACATTTCCAAAGTATCCTACACAAACAAATCCCCCTCTTCTTCCTCTTATTCCTCATTCTTTTCTTCCTTCATCTCTACAAAGAGAGAAACATTTTTAAAAAAAAAAGGAAAGAAGGAAGAGGAGAGGGGATATCCCACGCAATCACCTTGTGAATAAATAATTTCATGTTTCTCTTTATCTTCATATGTTTCCACTTTTTCTTTTTTTTAAAAAAAAAAAAACGGATGTATAACACAACAAATAATAATAAAGAAAAGAAATGAAAAAAGAGATAAAAAAAAAAAACCCCTACAAATGTACCCATTTCGGTAAAGGTGTCTTTGTTTGATAATCCCTCACAGAATCCTTCACCGCCTTCACCTTTCCAGTCTTCTTATCTGTTTCCCACATATGTGCAGGAAGGAGTCCAACCGTATTGCGATGCATAGCCACTTCTGGACGATTAAACTGCGGCATTGGATGATGTGAGCGGACTTCCCAATATGTACGAATCTTCTGAGCCTGTTTCCATGGAGTAACGCCATCAATAAATTGAAATAAGTCTCGTACTTCATTTTCAAAATGACGAATATAACCATGTGGACGAGCTTTATATCGCCAGAAGCGATTAGGGGAGAAGTAATAACTTGGACCCATATCATCTTGACGGATTTGTTCAGCAATAAGTGGTTGATCGGCTTCCTGAACTAATATCCATTCCCAAGGTGTAAAGTGATGCATATAGCCAAGACGGATATAATCTCTACGATGGGAAATACTTAATGGACGGTAATTATCTGCACGAGTGGAATCAAATCGAGTCCATTGATCAATTTCTGTAATTTGTTTAGTAGTACGGTATTTATTCGCTACAGATTCACTTGTACGTGCCAATTCGTACTTATCAAGAAAATGTTCTTCACTACTATTCTTCTCATTAAATGGATCCGCAACATCTACATATCGACGTAAACTCATAGGATTATGTCGTCTGGATTCATCCCCAACCGTACGTTCAGGGCCATAATAACGTCGTTGCCAAATCATTATATCCGATAATGGCACATCTTCTATACTTCCATCGGATTGAAAAGCCACACGAACCAGTCGAGGTTCAGGATTAAAAAAAGGTTGTCGATGATATTCAATAATTACTGCCCGTTGAGGTGTACTTACAATACGAGATCCATCCGGATGACTACCAAGATGACGACGGGCACGAATAGGTAAATTCTTAACTAATCCATCTGCATGAGTGGCGGGTGACCATCCTTCTTCACCTCGTGCGGTTTGTTCTTCCCAAATCACATCTTGTGTTTCCACATAATTTCCTCTATTATAGGCATAATGACCAATACCATAATTAATAGAATGATTTAAATTTTCAGAAATTCGTTCCATTTCATATTGATTAAAAATTTCATCCGTCATATCTACAACTTCTCCAGATTCTAACTTTACAGAAAGTGGTATAACTCGACGTTCAGAATCTGGTTTAAATTTATAAGATTGACCATCTATTAAAATAGTATGATGATGAGGATTTTCACGTGCTGTTTGAATTTCCTTTTCATAAGATTTTACTAAAACTGTTAATATAGATCCAGTTTCAGTATGAATAAGATCTACTACAGGTACTTCATATCCATGGGCAATAACATGTCCATATTGTTGATGCTCTGGAAGCCATCGACGACGTTGTATAGATATATTCCATTCATTTAATTGTTCAGATGTTTGTTCTTTTATATATTGTTCATACATGGCTCGTTCTTCAGCATTAAAATGACGTAAAACTTCTGGTGATTGAGCATATTGTATAATAGGTTCTGGAGCTTTTCCACTTACATTCCCTGTAAATCCACGCCCAATACGATGTTGATAAGCTTCCATTAAAAATAAACGATTAAAATAACGACTACTCAAAACATGTTCACGTGTATCGGTTGTTCCCATTTCATCTATTAAAGGATATAAATGTAAGTTTACAGATGTAGAAGCCCCTACAACAGCTTCTACTATAGTAGGAGATGGAAGCATATACATACCAAACCAACTACGTAATGTTTCACCACTTACACGCATTTCATCATCATTTGTATGTAAATATTTCTTTTCATCAAAAGGAGTTGATTCACATAATTTATTTAATTTTTCACGACGTGCATCCCGTTCTTCTACTGTTTCATTTACAACCGGTTCTAAACCATGTAGTAATGCCAAATGACGTCTCTGTTGATGATGGGCTCTATATCGTGTAAAGAGTTCCCATTCAAGAAACTCTGGTCGTTGTTTCATTAGAGAAAATCCTTCCACATCACGATACATACGATTTAATCGTAAAGAACGAAAATCAGGAAAAGGTTTAAAATAATCAAGTGGTCGTTCTCCACGGGCATTACGATGACGAAAAACAAATTCATCCATTGTTTGTTGAATAGGAACTCCAAAATGCATTACACTTCGTTCTGTTAAGTCTTGTTCACCTTTTGCCAATCGATCTTCTCTACGTGCGAGATCAAACTTTGTATTTAATAAATGCCCTACACCTTGTGAAGTATCTTGACGTACATATGGATTCCAATGTTCATCTGTGGAAGTCTTTCTATATGCATCTGAACTAAATAACATGGCATCTAAAAGACGTTCATCATTTGTATGTTTCTTTAATATTCGTTTATCAGGTCCACCATCTTGTACCAATGCCCCTTGACGTCCAATCCCAAACCGTTGAGCTCTTTCTTGTTTATGTTTTTCTTCTTCTGTGGCTTTAGTTGCTCGAATTGTATCTACAATTTCTTGTGTTAATGCCTCTCCCATTCCCGGTTGATCACTTACGGTATTTCGTGCAAATGCCTTTTGGGAAATGGATTCAAATAATGGAATTCTTGTTGTCTGTTCTCCTTTTTCTCCTTTTTCTCCTTCGCGTAGAGTTCGCTGGGCTTCTTCCATAGAAGAACTGGCCATGAGTGGTGGAAGTTGTTGAGCCCCATACGGAGTTCCCTTCTGTTGGGCGAGAAAACGATCCATATCATAGCCTTTAAATGGAATACGAGAAGTTCGCTGCATAATGGTAAAATCAAACTTTTCCTTTTCACGTAATCCATGAATAATACGAAGATTCTCTTCTAGCCAATCATCATGTACAGATTCTACACCTTTCATATAAGCTTCTGTAAGAGATTTGGAATCCATACTACTTGTCATGGGAAGTGGAGATTGTTGTTCGGCTAGTTTATAGCGATCTGTAATGGATTGTTGACGAATGGCATTTCCACTGGTACTCGTACTGTGATGTAATTGATTTACCGCATGTATAGATTGATTCTCCACAATAGTATTAGAGGTATTATATTGAGATGCGTAACTACGTGTTAACTCTTCTCGTTCTGTAGGATTCTCTATACTTCGCAAGGATGCTCGTTGTTGTCTAAACTCCTCCTCTAAACGAGAAACATCATGATCAAGCCAATTCCGTCGTTGTACCGCATCTTCATATTCAAACACACTCTGTGGATGATGATAGGCGATAGCGCCACCCTCGGCAAAGTTACGAGGGGCATACTGTGGACTATACCCACTCGCAGGATCACGGTAATAATCTTTATGGGCTTGACCGCCAAGTGGATCGGCTTCACTGAATAATTCCTTTTGCATTTGTGTAACCCAATCGGTTGAAGAAGTGCGTCCATCTTCATTGGTGGAAGCCGTTGTATGGTTGGAACCACGCGGTGAGGACTCGCGGCGTGCAGATTTGGAGAAATTCGATGATTGAGAATCTCTAATGAATGTATGTAGACCACCTTGATGTCGTTGTGAAGAGAATAGAGATGTGGATAATACCACCTCTGTTGAACCTACGGCAGTGAGGGGAACACAACACACACGTCGTCGAATCATGTTTATATATATGAAATATATATATATATATATATATATATATTAATGTATAATGTGTGTTTGTATGTATAGAAATACACAGAGAGCTATTCTTGTTACTTGTTATTACTACTTGTTGTTGTTATCGCTACGGATCCTAATTGCTTCTAATAGTCCCCTTTTCTCTCTCTCTCTCTCTCTCTCTTTGTTTGTGTCTCTGCAGGATTATGCCACCGACACAAACTAATGCTAATTCCTCCGTCAATTCCGGATACTACTATCACATAGAATAAAATCAAGAAAAAAGGGGGAAAAAACCATACGATAGAAGTGTAAATAGAAAATAAAATATCTATACAATACGTTACAGATATGTGTATATGTTTCTGAATATATATATATATATATATATATAT